CTTGTGTTACTGCAAATTTTACCAGTGAATACCATTCAGGTTCTATGTCGACGTATTGACGATGTATAGGTCTTTGGGTCCAAAGTAGTTCGCTTATGGGGGGATTGAGGAGGAGGAACTGAACACCATGAACAGAAAGTATGGACTCTGCAGTTTCCGTACGCCGCTTTTCATGTCCGTTTGGCGAGCTAAGTCAGGTTCAGTGTCCGAGGAAGTGCGGGCAGGTACCTCCATGAGGTGGGGTTACTGGAAGCCTGTCAAGAGGCCTATAGTAATTCTGAGGGCATTGCCACTGTTGTCTGGGTTTTGTTCTGCAGGTGCAAGGCACAGGAGGGGCTGCTTCTTCTGCAGCGGCAGGGAGTGCACCCGCAACTGGTGTATATGGTGAAGGAGAAGATGCTGGGGAGCTTGATGGGGAGAACTTGGGCCCTGAAGTGGAAGTCCATATTGACACTGTTTATGGGCTCCCTCCAGGGTTTGTGCCTCCACCAGTCATTCCAGTCGGTGCAGGAGGATGGCAAGCGCCATGGACTCATGCGCAGCTACCATCTGGGCAGGTGCGGAGAAGTGGAAGTGATGTGGGAAGTGAGTGACAGGGTTGCCATGTGGTGTGATTTGCAAACCGTATGTGTGCATCCATACTCCCTGATGACCGTTAGTTTGCGTCCATACTAACACAGATTTTGTGAGACGGAAGTGTCCGTGGGCTGGCTGAATTGTAGTCACTGGACACATTGCTTGGGTTATGGGCCGTTTCTGAGTACCCATTGTCGTGCACAGTGGGGAACATCTGGTGTACATTATCCTGCTTCTCTGTGGTTGTCAAGCAACCTTTCCATTTGCAGCCCTTGTTAATAACTCTATTTCGAATAGGCCTTCTCACTGCAAAGGTGCAGCAAGTCAATGGCTTTGATGTATCACTGTGGATCCCCCTCCCCCCCCCACCCCCATCGCACCCCCATCCCCAGTTGACGATTCCTCTCGTTGAGGGTTTTTGCCTGTTGAGCGATTCTGCCCCATTTAGTATGCTCCCTTTCTGAGGATTTCCTTCCTATTGAGGCTCTCCCCATGGAGGATTCCCTTGCATTGAGGGGGCCCCCCTCTCCCGCCCCCTGGCTCCCCCCTTCCCCCCTTTCAAAATCAGGATTTGCACCCTCCCCCCTCGACGAGGGTTTGCAACCTTCCTATTCAGCCCGGTTACACCCTGGGTCCCTGACTGTAATTCGATCTGACAATTACCCTCTTGCATTCATCGTGTACAATGGCTGGGTGATGATGACCTTGTTATGTATCCGATGCTGCTACGCCAATTGAGATAAGATTGTTCGATGAGGGTGTCTATTGTTATTTCGTCGGCATGTACTTTCACAGAGGAGAACTTTGGAAGTGCTGAAAGGATTCACGCTGCAGACACCCAGTCCTGGTCCCAGGGTCCCAACATGTCCCAAGTCCCAGGGCTGTCCCGTAGGGTAGGCCGTAGGGGCTAGAGGCCAAAGTGTCGTAGGTCGGTAGGTGTCGGTACCGAAGCGTCGTAGGTCGGTAGGAGTCTGTCCAGTACCCGACAAGAAAAATCCAGAAGCGTCCAGTCCAGTCCGACAGTCCCAAGTACAATTTTGCAGCAGACAGGCCGTGGCCGGTCGGTTCCGGTCTGAAGCAGCCCAAGCCAAGCCAAGCGAAGCCAAGTCCTATATTTAGCTTGCTACAGTGCAAGCTCATGACTTGTTCAGTTGCGAGATGCGGAAGCGCTGCTGCTGCTTGTGTGCTAAGGCAACTTGGGCACTGCGCTGAAGAAGAAGACGGCACTTGAGAGATACTCCATAGCTAGGCTAGCAGTAGAGCAGGAGGATGGCGGCCATAACCGCCAAGGTGTAAGCTACCTGAGTGGGCGTATCCACGGTAACGATCTACGGTAGAGAGAAGAGAGAGAGCGAGGCAGAGCGAGTCAAGTCAGAGAGAGAGAGGAGAGGGGAGAAGCCATAGCCGCTATCTGGATGAAATCCTTTGTGCATGTCTGTGTGGCAGAGCTGCTGGAGATGAACATTCTTGTATATTGATAATGATATTGGAGATGACGTCTTCAAGTGTTGATTGAATCTCGATCTGGCTTCTCACGTGTGAACTCTCATCTGAATGTTCATTGATGTATGCGAGGTTGAACTTGACAAGTACGTGGCTCATTTCAGTGCGCATTATAGAGATAGATTATTCTATGAGGATGTCTATTGTGAACTGGTTGGCATTGAGTTTATCAGAGGCGAACTTTGGAGGGGCATGATATATTGAGATAGATTGCGCTATTATGGTGTCTATTGTTATTTGGTTGACATTCTATTTCTTGGAGGCGAACTGTGGACTTGCATTATCAGCCTGGAATGTTAAAGGATGGCTCTTTCTAACCCGAAATGTTAATAAATGGTGGCGAATGTGCAGACACCTCCAGATGCATTGACGACAATAAACCAGTACATCAGTAATCTCAACCATTTGATTGCCACAATTGGTGAGTATGTCTGTCTCTGGCTACTCTTATGTCGAACAGGACGAGACATCTTAGCTCTGTCCGTACGGCCATGACCTGTATGTCTGTCTCTGGCTACTCTTATGTCGAACAGGACGAGACATCTTAGCTCTGTCCGTACGGCCATGACCTGTTGGGATACAGACCTGAGTCCGAAGACGAGTGGAATCAGATGAGTGAAAAATAACTCTGAATTTACCTGGGGTCAGTGAGACATCTCAAGCCCGTTGCCACCCTCTCCTTTTTTAAAAACCGTGTGTTGATTTCATTTCCAGAGTTTTTTTTTTTTTTTTTGTATAGACAGGAGATAAGGGGAAAGCAAAGCAGCAAGTTGCTCTGTGAAGTTCGTTCGTGTCAATCAGAAGGCCTAAGTGTTGGGTGTACACATCCCTTGACAATCCATGGTGTCGAGTTTAGTGAGGTTGCTGCTATGTACACCCTCTTACCTGATCTATTTCTCAACTGCAGTGAGGTTACTGCCTTGTAAAATCTGCTACACTATGCGTCCTTTTTTCCACAGAATTCTGACTCACACCTACCGAGAGGAATGAGAGTGTGTTGAGCCATTCTGGAATGTGATATGGGCAGTTTGCATGCATTCATGCATGCTATGATCATTGCCACCTTCTAGTGAGCAGATCGCTGCGTAGTATAGATACTGGGATGCAGACCTCAGAACTATCACCACTATCTGTTCTGCCCTGGGGTTGCCGCTCTCCTCTCCTTTTACTGGAGTTCATATGGCGGCAGGGTTACCAGCCCGTACATACGGAGGCCCCCGGGCGGACCTCCGTACGTTTGGGCGTTCGGGGTCCCATTCGGGGTCCGAACCAGCACAGGGGTTTGGCCCCCGCCAAAAACATTTTGGCACCTGAAAACAACTTTTTTTCCTGATTTTTTTTTTTTGTGTGTGTGTTTACATGCCTATAAATTTTGAAGTTGCGAGGATCTGGGTCCTCGGCAGGCCTAAGGGCCCCCTGTTGCATCTGTGCCCGCCCTAAGTGAAGGCGGGCCTAACAAATTATGAGAGGCCCTCGGCTGTCAATTTTGTATTTGGGGTCCAGGCAGTTTTGTCGGGCCAGTTGGTTTGAGGAAAACACAGGCCGAGCAGCGAGACTTTCGACGGCCTTCCAGGCCTTTCCAAAACGATGCAGGCCCTGGTGAGTATGGCAGCCTCATACACAGACAGTTGGGAGGCCCATGAATGAGGCCCAGTACCTGCAAGAGAGCTGCAGCATCCTGGGGCCTAGCGGAAGCTTCTGGGCCCAGGCCAGTCCAGCCAGGCTGCCGAATGAGGCAGGCTATATGGAAAGAGCTCGCTGCCTGGCCAGACATTCGGGGACTTGCTGGCTGGTGGCAGTTCTGCTGGAGCTTATGCTCGCGTGTTGGCTGCGAGCGCAGGAGCAAGGTCCTGCGCATCTGCGGTCGTGTGTGGAAGCAGGGCGCTGCTGAGGGCAGCGCCATAGCCCAGTCTCCGTAGCTGGCTGAGGGCTTGGATGTACAGTGAGGTGCAGGGGTGGTCTTCGGGTGTACAAAAACGAAGACGTGGGAGAGAGACAAGGTAGAGAGGGAAGGATGATGATGATGATGATGTGAGGGCACAAAGCTGGTATTGGCGATGGTCTGCATGGATTTATCTTCAAGTAGGCTGCTGACGTCAACAGTTGCATTGTCAATTAGTAGGCTAGTAGTAGCTCTGTAGGGAGTAGGCTGGGTGCCAAGCGCCAAGTAGGGAGATAGGGACTGGATACATATGTTGGTGGTGGCGAGAGAAAGCTCTCATTGACATTGGTTTTCAGTGCTACGATTCTCCAGTGGTGTCATATTGGTGCAATGCTGCTTTCTCAACATTGTGATACGATCTGGCTTTCAATGTGATTGTGCAATCTGAATATTGTCAATCTCGCTATTGCTCATTTTCCTTGCCAGAGAAGAATCTCCAAAGTTAGTTGCGTATCATAATCGGTAACGTGACATGTTGAGGAAGGATTCAGTGTGGATTCTAGTTTAGATCACACGCACTGTAGCTCGTGAGTGATGCAAGCACTAGTGAGGAGTTGTTAGTGGACGACTGTAGGAGCACTCCTAGAACTGCTCTCAGTCGACCTTTGACTTTCCTAGAGTTAGGTCTTGGAGACGAGAGGAGACTGCGGAGATAGGCTAGAGAGAGAGCAGCGGCAAGAAGAGTGAGGGTGTTTGAGGACAACGCCAGGTCTAGAACTACAGCTAGTACCAATACGACCATGGCTATTTCCTCTACCATGTCGCAGGGTACGACCATGGCTACTTCCTCTACCATGTCGCAGGCCCTCGTCACAGGGCACTTCGTTAGGACTCAGTCAGAGTGCTTCTTAGACGTCCATTAGCCATAGTGTTGGCTTGCAAGTCAGCCAGCAGGCTCAACTCATGCCAGATGATTATGAAATCCTCCAAGCAGAAGAACTTCAGGATGAGCGACAACGACAATTGGATGAGGCACCAAAGAGAAGAAGAAGAGCAATCATGTAAAAAGCTAGACCAGGAAGTAGATTGCAGGAGCTAATCGGATTAGAAGCATTAGATGAATCAACACTTGACCCTGCGATGCGAGCGCTGCGTAACTCGCTCCTGTGTGTGGCGGAGACGCAGATTGTTCAGCAGGACGTGTTGGCTGAACTAGTGGCAGGCCAGAAACGAAGTCTGGCTGCACTACACGCTCCTCGTCCAGTGATGAGGTAGCCTCAGTTTGCTGCAGCTCCCCATCGGGTGTGGGTCCATCGATGTCGCCGTCGCCGGTTGGGCCCTCATTCTCACCTATGTTTGGCATGCCCCCTCCAGGTGGTTATGTGGCGATTAGTGGTCCGGTTCGTAGAACTTCTGTCGTACCATCCACGACAGTGGTTACTACAGTCCCACTGTCAAGTCAGGCCCAGGTAGTGTGCAGCAACCTGTTTCGGTGGCTATGCAGCCGCTGCAGCAATCTCCTGGGCCAATGCAGCCGATGCAGTGGATGCCCAAAATACCCTTGCTGAGTCCTAAGCCTTTCTCCGACGAGAGGAAGAAGGATGAGGACTTGGATACCTGGGTAAGGACGGTGCCTACCTATGTGAGGCACAATCTTGCAAGGCCGGAGCAAGGTAGTGGCTGCCTCCTTTTAGAGGGGTCAGCAGCCCGCTGGTTGAATGGCCCAGTGCAGCAACAGGGCTACGGTCAGAACTTCGATGCCTGGGCTCAGGTCCAGACCTTGGAGGAAATCGTACGGTCCGTGTATAACAGGTGGCATGACCCTTAAGGGGCTCAAAAGGCCACAGACACAATCAACAGTCTTTGTGCCAAAAGGTACAAGAATGTTCGAGAGCTCACAGTTATCGTAGAACGTCTGCTCGTGGTACCTGTTGTGCGTTATGACCAGCAGGTTCTCCTCACAGATTTCCTAAGATGTCTGCCTTCAGAGGTTAGGACAAAGCTGGTAGATGAGGCCTATGTCGAACAGCACAACTTCGCTTCCTTCAACAAGAAGGCCTTAGATATAGACACAAAACTGGGGTTCGCGCATCAGAGTCAGGGAGATGGTAGGAAGAAGAGACTTCCCAAGGACTGGAAGAAAAAGGGTCAGTTAATGTTCGTTGACCACGATGGTCAAACTCCGGAGATTGACGAGTTCCCAGATTTAGGGGATGAGACAAAGCATGATGGGGCCAGTAAGACTTCGGATGGGGGAGTCGTGGCACCCATCAAAGAAATGGTTAGGGTGACCGGGAAGAAGAAGGCAGTACGGTCTACGGGTCAGGGTGACCAAGGTACACCCGCATGGGTGAAACTTGGTTTAGAGTACGAGGTGTGGAGGGACCGAGTTGCTAGGGGTACGTGCATGAACCGTGGCAACTATGGTCACACGTCAAGAACGTGCCGAGGCCCTAGAAGAGTTAGAGACTGAGTGGTCAGGGAAGGACCCCAGAGACTCTTTGGCGATGATTAGTAGAGGTCGAAAAGGTGAACGCTTCGTGGTAGAGGTTGATGTAGGTGGCCGCAAGGTGGGTGCCTTCGCAGACATAGGCTCCACACGAAACTTCATCAGCCTTGCTTGTGTGGATAGACTGCGCTTAGGGGACCCAAGTGCAGCGGCTTAGTAGAACTATAGCTTCTACGCCAGCCAACAAGCACCAAATGGTAGTTAAGGACTATGATGTAGTCTGCTGCTCCTCCTATGGAGGAGGGGAAGTGAGACACAAAATCTCATTCCTCGTTAGCGACGAACTGCCCTTCGACATGTTGCTAGGCATATACTACCTCCAAGTTGGTCAGCCTCAGTTTGATTGGGATAGGAAGGTGTTGATACACAAGCTGTTAAACGGTAGGACTGTTAGACTGCAAAAGTATAAAGCTAGCAGTTTAGTGGAAAAGTTGGGATGCATGTGTGCCTCCTCTTTCTATAACTACTATTAAGTAGAAACGCGAGGAGGGCATGTATCTAGTCTTTGTCTTTGAGAAAGGGGAGGCCGTTAAAGCAACCCCAGAGATAGAAGTCGTTGCGCAATATCCCGACCTTTTTGAGGAGCCCACAAGCGAGGTAGAAAGGGAGGTGGTCCATGCAATAAAGGTTATCCCAGGTAGACGAATCTTTAGGATGTCTCCTGCGGAGTTGGATGAGCTCCGCCGCCAGCTCAAGGAGCTCACACAAAAGCGATGGATTCACCCTAGTACCTCCCCTTACTGTGCGCCACTACTATTTGTTCCTTAGAAGGGAGGTACACTGAGGATGTTTATTGACTATAGGGGCCTCAATGCCATCACTGTTAAAAATGCAGAGCCCCTACCCCGCATCGACGGCCTACTGAATAGAGTGCAGGGATACCGGTGCTTTACTAATATAGATCTAAAGTTTGGATACCATCAAAGTTGCTATTAGACCTGAGGAGCAGCACAAAACCGCTTTTCAGACCAGTTACGGTCTGTATGAGTTTGTGGTGATGCCCTTTGTCCTATGCAATGCCCTTGGGACA